GCAGGCTGGCCTTGAACTCACTATGTAGCCCAAGCTGGCTTTGAACTGGCAGCAATCTTCCTGCTTCAGCCTCTTAAATGCTGGCATTTTCAAGCATGCGCCACCGTGCCCATCCTATGCTTATTTTAAAGCAAGATTTAGAAAGTTAATTTCACAGATATATTCAGACTCTTAAACATGGGAGTGAGCAGTGTGTTCTACCGGTTAATAATTTAGAAAAGTGACACTACAAGCTGGCACTGACGGAGTTGCAATCAAGGTCCTAGAACCAATAGAAATGTTTGGATTTTTCAAGTGGATAAATCTTTTATTTGAAATAATGTGGTGGGGGAATAAGCTAGTCTTTTGGTTTGATAATATATCTTTTAGTTGAGATAACTTCTGACACTATTATTAAGACCCTGATGTGTTCATTAGTTTGAGGCCAAGAGGTTAGTTTCTTTTGAAGACTGTATCTTGAGTACTGTACATGTTATTTCAGGTTTATGGCTGCCTCTGAGTGAAGTGATGCTTACTTTCTGCAGTTGGATGTTTATAGTCTTTGAAAACTTTTGTTTGCGTAGACAGTAACTATATTTGGCCTATTGCAGTTCTCTATAATGCAGCAGTTCCTTGTTCGTATTTAAATTTTTTTTAATACGGGGTCTCACTATGTAGTTGATCTCACTGTGGAACCCAGGCTGGCCTCAAACTCTCAGTGATCCTCCTGTCTCTGCCTCTAGAGTTCTAGGATTACAGGCATGTGCCACCACACCAGGCAGTTCCATTTTGTTACAGCTTACTCACTTTAGATATTCATAGAGCAAATTAGATGTCATTCCATATTGCTTCTCCTTCCATATTTTGTAGCTTAAATTCAAGGAGAGATGAAAATATAGGTGAAGTTTTCCATTTGTTTCATAAACAGAGTTGAATGGGAGGGGTAAGACAGGTGTGGTTATTTCTTTTTTTAATTGAGAAATTTCTTCTGTGAGTTAGAGCACATTTACTTATTTACTTATTTACTTATTTATTTATTTATTTATTTATTTATTTATTTGTCTCCTTTGAGAGAAGGTTTCACTGTGCAGTTCAGACTGGCCTTGAACTCACTTTGTAGCCCAGGCTGGCCTTGAACTCACAGCTATCCTCCTGCCTCAGCCTCCTGGTGCTGGGATTGCAGGCGTGAGCTACCATGCCTGGATAGAAAACTTGCTTTGCATGGAAATATAAAGAATGTTTGTGGAAGGTTTTCATGGAAAAGTACCTTATTTTCTAATTTTAAGTACTTATACTCTTTTAGCTTTCACAAGCTTCTAATGGACAGCTGCTATATGTCACGAGATGTTACCTGCATTGTAGTAGACATACAATAAATGTGTTGATTATATAGTTAATGTGATTAACTCAAAGAGGAAATCAGTGTATGATTTGATGGATATTTAGCAGTGATTATCTTGGCACAAACTAATTTTCATATTTTGAAATATGTTATTCTCATTGTTAGTGAAGATGCATTGTGATCTTTGTATGTTTAAAAATATAAATGGTTTGATAGATTTTTCATGGTAGTAAGGCTTAATCTCTTCTGCCCAAGAAAACCACATTGGTAAACTACTTTACTGGGCCTGTTGATAGTTTCTATCTTTATCACTGATTGACATTTAACCAAGTTTTTTTTCCCTGTAATTTTAGCTGTGCTTGAAACCAGCTAACATCTCCTGTTAACATCAAAGCTATTTCTTTTATTACTTGTTTTCATACCTCTCTTATGTTGTATCATGAGGAAAAAAGAATCTTCCCCAATCTATTCCTGCCTGTACTCCCATAGAATATTTTAGGCATCTCAGCTGTTAGGGCTCTGATCAAGAATTTGATCCAGTTGGTCCCCTTGCCTGAATTGCAAGTCTGTTTAAAAAGCCTGAGCTGCAGTAGTGACTTGTACTAGTTTCTAGAGTAGGAACCACTGCAGTATTTTGTTTCAGAAGGGTATGTTAATAGGTTCTTTTGTCCATACAAGCATGATGACGTTTGATGAAGTGGTGGAACGGTTGTGATATTTTGGAGATGGGGAGTGTTCTTTAAAAAAGAGGTTTGGGTAGGTATCATTTATCCTCTAGTTCTTTTATCTTTCAGCTATTACTACTCTTTTTCTCTTTCTGTCATCCACTGTTAACTCAAGATAAAATAAGTACTGATTTTCCAGAAGACCAGGCATTCTCAGGAAAGTATAAATATTTTACATAACTTCCCTCTCTGGAACTAGCAGTTCTATGGAGTTAATCTAGTATGCATGGCAATTATGCCTAGGAGGTACCTAGTGATTTTCATATTTTTTTCAGAGAAAAAGATAGTTTGAACTAAAAGCTTATTGATTTTTAAGTCCTCAAATTATTTTAAGCAAATATTTGAAGTTGGTGCAGGGCTGGGGATTTAACTCAGCGGCACGGTGCCTGCCTGGCAAGTGCAAGGTCGTGAGTTCAATTCCCAGTACTGGAAAGTCCCCCCACCCCCCAAAAAGTGAAGTTGGTGCGTACATTCTGTGATGAAAGGAATAAATATATGAGCTGGTGATTTTTTTTTAAATGAGGCACTTGCTATGTTGTCTAGGCTGGCACTGAACTTCTGAGCTCAGGCAGTCCTACTTCAGCCTCACAGGTAACTGGGATTACAGGTACGCATGACAGTACCTGAGAATGCAGTTTTTTTTCTTTTAGAGTTATTACCTAGATCAGTAGTTTCTAAACTCTTTGATTATTCCATCTGTTAAAAAATAGAACATTCATCTTGTATATACTTACTTTAAGTTACCTATACTATAATCCTTACTGTAACATAAAACATACAAATGGGGCCAGGAATGTAGCTCAGCAGAAGCAAGAGGTCTCGAGTTTGATTTTCAGTACCAACAATAACTACACACACACACACACACACACACACACACACACACACACGAGACACTTTTAAGTGATAAAGTAAATGTCAGTAAAAGATGTAATATTTTCTTACTGTATCATAGTGGGGTTTTCTGTATCCTCTGGTGCAGTTACTCTTTGCAAACTATTGACCTAAATCATTGATCGGGGGAACCCAGGCTAAATGGCTCCCCTTAACCTGAAACTGAGGATTGAACCCAGGGCCTTCACACTCAGCTACGTCTCCAGCCCTTCCCCCTCCCCAGCCCTTTTTTTTTTTATTTTTGAGACAGGGTCTTGCTAAGCTGACTAGGCTGTGTTCGAACTTGCAGTCCTTCTGTCTAAACTCCCAGAGTGCTGGGATTATAGGTGTACCCTACCACCTACACCTGGTTAAGTATCATTTTATTTTTAACAAGTTACCTAAGTGATTGTGATTTTAATATGCACAAAAGTTTGAGATATGCTGATCTGCATTATTCTCTTTTCCACAGTTATTTATGAAATGAAGCAATAAAAAGCTTTAGTAATAAGAGAAGATAACTGTCCAGTTTTAATTCGGCTACTAGGCTAAGGATCAGATGGAAAGGATATCCTTACTTTCAAAGATAATTAAAACTAACCCCAAAAGATAGTCTTAGTGATAGGTATTATATTATATGTTCAGCTTTCTTATGTCTTCCTAGTGATATTTCTAAAATCTGAACCTTGTTATTTATTCAAAATCCAATCATTTGTTCTTGTCTATAGGATGAAGTCCAAACTCTTAATTTGACATGTTAAGTCTGTATGATTTTGGTGCCCACTAACCTTTTAACATCGTAACTTTTATTGTTCCTTCCACCATCCCTGTTCCCCTGGAAAACCTTCTGCACAAATAGAAAAACAAAAGAAAGCTCCTCAACTGAGCCACAATGCATTCATAGTTCATTGTAAGCTTTTTTCTTTGATTGGCTATTCTGCCTGCATTGCCCTTTAAGTTTGTCCTACCAAAAAACTACTGCTTGCTAAGATTCAGCTCAAACATCTTTCCTGACCCCTCTAAACATTCTTTTTTTTGTTTTTAGACAGGGTCTGTCTTTGTAGTTTAGCCTGTCCCTGTCCCTGTCCCTGAACTCACTGTAGCTCAGTGGCACAAGTGCCTGCCTGGCAAGCGCAAGGTCCTGAGTTTGATTTACTGTACCAAAAAAAAAAAAAAAAAGGTGCTCAAAATCACCAATCATCAGGGAAATGGAAATCAAAACCACCCTGAGATGTTATCTTTAACTTGTTAGAATAGTTTTTATTGAAAGAACAAAATAAACAGTCTTGGCAAGGGTCACTTTTCATGCAGCCACAGTAGAAAACAGTGTAAAGGTTCCTAAGGAAATTAAAAATACAAACCACTAGTCCCTCTTCTGCTTATGAACCAAAGGAAATGAAGCTACCACCTTGTAAAAATACCTGCTCTCCCATGTTCATTGCAGCATTAATTACAATACTTAAGATACGGAAACAACTGAAGTGTGTCTGTGAATTAATAAACAAATTCTCTCTCCCCTTCCGTGTGTGTGCATGTGTGTCTCTCTCATACACACACACACAGGACTATTATTCAGCCTTAAAAAAGAAGAGTCTATGATTTGCAACAGGAAAGAACCTGGAGGACATTAGGCTGAGTGAGCTAGAAATAGAATAGTAGGGTATGATCTCATACATATGGAATTATGATCAAAACAGATGCCTAAAAATAAGAGTAAAACAGTGCTTGGGAAGGAATGGGAAGATGTAGATCAAAGGATAACATAGAGTAATAATGTAGGATGACTATTAAAGAGATCTAAAGTACACCATAAGTATTATAGGTAGTAATGTGGAATGCTAGTAATTTGTCCATTGTAGATTTTAGGTATTCTTAACTACAAGAGGAGGAAGGAAGAACGGGAAAAAAAGGAAGAGGAAAAGCTATATGTGGTGTGTTACTTGACCTCATGTTGCATCCCTTAAAAACATAAAAAATCAGTTGGAAAAATAAATAAGATCTAGAATAGCCTGTTAACTTTATTAAACTTCAGACTCTTTTTGTAGTGTTAATTATGATACATTTTTACTCTTTTTCCATAGGGTGTTTGTGAACCGAAGTTTAGCCATGGAAAAAATAAAGTGTTTTGGTTTTGATATGGATTATACTCTTGCTGGTGAGTAGCAATCTGATTGCTTTTATGAACTGCTATTTTTGTTATAACATAGTGGGTCCACTGTAGGCAGTTCAATAAGCATTTGTCATATAGTTGGCTGGCAAAGCTGTTATTAAGCCATTTTCATTGAGATTTAGAATATTGAAGTCATCTGATACGCTTGAGATTTGGTTCGTGTGCTTACCGATAAGTAGATCAAGTCCTAATTATTTTGTTTTAGAGATCCTCCTAAGAAACTGGTAAAATCATACACTAATGTATTTTGGCATTTGTAGCTTTTACCCCATTAAGCTAGTCTTCAGATAAAATTTTTTTATCTCTGCCATAGCTAAGTTCTTATAAGTTAAAAATTTTAACATGTTTATCTTATTGTATTCATTTAATTTTTTTTGGTGTTCGGGATCAGACCCAGGGCCTTGTACTGTATATTTGAAACAATATGTTGGTCATATAGTTACATTAGTTACAACATCTTGTCGGAACTAATTAAGTAAAATATTTGCACTGTGGTGATGATATCATTTAAGAAGTCATAGGGAGAACAGATGAAATTAACCACATGGATATATGTGTTCGTATGTATTCAAATGCAGTTACGACACTCAGAAAAAAAATAATTTAGAAATACTTTTTTTTGAGTCAGGGTCTTTCTATCTACTTTATGCTGGCCTTGAACTCACAGTGTAGTCCAGGCTGGCCTTGAACTCATGGGAATCCCCTTGCCTCCTGCCTCAGTTTCACAGGGGCTGGGGTACGGGCATGTACCACCACGCCTGGCAGAAATTGTCTAAAAATTTTTGGTTTGCCAGGCATGTTAATACATGCCAGTAATCCCAGCTACCTGCAAGGCCAACCCAGGAGGATTCTAAGTTCAAGGCCAGCCTGGCAGCTTAGTGAGACACTTATCTCAAAGATAGATAGATAGATAGATAGATAGATAGATAGATAGATAGATAGATAGATCTGTTAATTTATTTTTGTCTTTAAGCCAGCACGGTAGCACATACCAGTAACCCCAGCACTTGGGAAGCTAAGAGGCAGAGGGATTGTTTGAGCCAAGAAATTTGAGACCACCCTGAGCAATATAGCAAGGCTCTGTCTCCAAAAAAGTTTTTGTCCCTAAGTACACAGTAACCATTTCAATAACAGTATTAGAAAACAAGCCTCCATTTCAAATTATGTAAGTCTCAATTTGATGTTCAGTTTAGGCTACAAATTACTGTGAATATACAAAAATAAACACATGCAGATACTTGCCATGTAGACATAGCCATGATTTTTTTTTAACCAAATAAGTAATTTATTAAAAATATATGAGTAGCCTTAGATTTGTTTTTTTTTTTAAATTTTTATTTTAAAGAATAAAAGAAGGATAACATAATAATAAGGGGGACTTAGCAAATTACAGACAAAATGGTAGGAAATTATCAATGGTTATCGTTTTACATATTATTATCTACAAAATAGTTTCTCAGGAAAACAAATAGACAAATAATGAGTAGCCTTAGATTTGTTTTTCTTTTTCCTCCATAATCTGTCATGAATTTGTTTTTCTATTGCTTACAGCTCTTCTAACTCTTATGGTTTACTAATGGGACACAGACACTTTTAGGAGCACTTGTCAGAAAATAAGTGAAAGCATTATACTTTCTCAATGTAGGTCTTTCTGTTCAAATGGGAAGAAAATACTATAATCCAGAGTTCTAGCTAGGGCTAAGGTTGTAGCTCCGTGCTAGAGCACTTGCCTTGTATGTTTGAGTACTTAGGTTCAATTCCCAGTACCTCTCCCCTGGAAAAAAAAACAAAAAAAAACCCCAAAACAAAGAATTGTACCCCTCTAGAAAAAGGAATAGCAACATAATTTGACAACTAAAAAGGACGTTCAGAACAGAAATAGAAGTTATTAAATTGGTTATTAAGACAATCTCATTATACTGATTTATTAACAGTCTACAGTGTGTCTGGCATGTTGTTACTGAGAATTAAGATAATTATATATTCTCATTGGAAAATGAATTTTTTTTCTGTCTTTCTTTCTTTTCAAATAAGTTCTTCTCAAGTAAGTTCTTTAAACAAACCAGGATTTATTTTCTTTGGTTGTTGTTTTTGTTTTTTTTTTTCTGGTACTGGGAATCGAACTCATGACCTTGCGCTTGCCAGGACAAACCAGGATTTAATCACGTAAAGAGGCAAAGCCCTTTAGAGTAGCCCCTTTGAGAGGTTATAGGTTATTCCAACATTTCTGCTTTGTATAAAACATTGTTATGGTATTGTCTTCACAGAGTACATAGGAAAACAAGTTTATTGATTTTATATTCTCACCCATGTTCCAGAATGGTAGTCATAAAATGTGAATAACTCTGAATCAAATGTGAGTAGCTGTGAATGTGAATAACTTCCCATTGTTTTAAAAAACAGAGAAACAGTACCCTTGACGTAATAAGATTTTCATGTGCGGTGAAATACAGAGACAAGGCTAAAAGAAGTGTGGTTTATTGATTTGTTTTCAACTTTGACTATTTGGGATAAATATCTTTGTAATAAGTGCAATTGCCTCACAGGTAAGTTCTTAGAAAAAGTCTGTGTTCCTTATGAAGTACCCTCTGTGCAGTTCTGACATCCTGGCATGTTCACTCTAGAATATTTTATGTCAGCTGCAGCTTTTGTTTACTTGCTTGTCTTTCCATTAACCTTTGAGTTGCTCAAGGGCAAAGGCTATTTCTCACTTACAGCTGATGTTTAGCATGAAGCCTGGCATACAGTAGATATCAGTAAATATTTGTTGACTAACAATTTGGATGCAGTTTTAGTAAATTAGTTTTTGAATTAATTATGGTACTTTAGTTTACCCAGCATAAGACATAATACTAATTATTCAAATGAAATATTTCTAAATATGAGCATTTTAAAAATTTAATGAATTTTATTGAGGAATGTTACCCAAAATGAAATGCATGCATTTTCCACGGACAGATTGAGTTTTACAAAGGTAAATCTGTGTAACTGCCGCCACAATCAAGATACAGAATATCATGTCAGTTCACAGTGTTCCCTCAGTGCTCTTTGAGATCAGCGTTTTCCCCTCACCCTACCCTTTGAACTTTGCCTTTTTGTCACTGCAGTTAATTTTATCTTTTACACAATTTCATATCAATGGAATCATATAGTATGTACTGTTTTGAGTCTGGCTTCTTTTGCTCAGCATAACACTTCTGTGGTTTATTTGTGTTTTGCCTATCAGGTAAGCAGTTCTTTTTTATCTAACATTAAAAAACTTTTGAAATAAAATTTCAAAAATTCTAAATTTTGAAGTAATTTTTTTTGTTTTGGGTTTTTTTTTTGGTGTTTTTGAGACAGGCTTTCACTTTTCAGTTCAGGCTGGTCTTGAACCCACTTTATAGTCCAGGCTGGCCTTGAACTTGCAGAGATCCTCCTGCCTCAGCTTCTTGAGTGCTGGGATTACAGGCCTGCGCCACCACACCCAGCTGAGATAATTTTAGACCTACTAAAACACTGCAAAAATGTGTTTTCAGTGCTGTTAATTGAACTATGGACTGTTGTATTAGATTTTCACTAATGTTCTCCCCTTCCAGAATCAAGAATCCCACACTGCATTTAGTTCAGATACCTATCTTTTCTTCCCTAGTCAGTGAGAGTTCCTAAATCTTTCCATGTCTTTTATTGCTTTGACACTTTCTAAAAGAACACTGGTTAGGTATTTTGTGGCATGTCCCATGACTTGGGTATGTCTGATGTTTTCTCCTGCATACGTTGAAGTATTATATATATTTGCAAAGACTATCACAGATGTCAGAGCATATTAGTATGTGATGTTGACGCTAACAGTGATGTTAACCAATTTAAACTTTGCCCCCTCTCTCCTAGTACTCCGTTGTATGAGTATACAAGGATTTGTATATTTATTTATTGTTGGTGGGCATTTGTGTTGCCTTATACACTTTGGTGCTATCGTGAATAAAACTACGTACCATGGACGTTGGTTTGCAAGTTTTTTGTGAATGTACATTTTAATTTCTTCTAGGTAAAAGCCTAGGAGTGGAATTGGTAGATATGATTTACCTTGTAAAAAACAGAAAAGTGGTTTTGCAGAATTTTGATACTATTTTAAATTCCAGCCAGCAATCCTTGAGAATTTTGGTTTTTCCACTACTCACACATGCTTGGTTTGTCAGTTCTTTTGTGTTTAGTCAGTCTAATAAATACGTAGTGTTATCTATGATACCTAGTAATGATACCTAGTAACGTTGAAAATCTTCAGATATTTGTTGGCTATTTGCATTTTTTTAAATGATGTGCTCATTTTTTTTAGTGAAGTGCTCATTCAGATGGCCCTTTTAAAATTTGGGTAGTTTTTTCATTACTGAATGGTAGGGGAGTTCTTTATGTATATTAAGAATAGTAGTCCTTTGTCAGATTTCATATATGTTAACCATATACAGTGAATATATTGACTGCGTATGTATGCAGACATTCTGTTCCATTGATCTGTATGAAATATGTGGTCTTGATGGTAGGTTTATAGTCTTGAACCCAGATAGGTTGAGTCCTCGAACTATTCTTTTTCATAATTGTTTTGATAGGCTAGATCCTTTACTTGTCTATATAAATATTAGAATTAGTTTATCAGTTTTTCAAAAGAGCCCACTGGAATTTTCACTGGGATTGTCTTCCTCTTTAAATCAGTTTGTGGGAAATTGATGTCTTAACTGGGTTGAGTCTTTCAGTCCACAATGTCTTTACCATGTACTAGTGATCTTCAGCGCCTCTAAATGTTCTGTAATTTTTGGTGTGAAGGTCTTAGGTCTATTTTGTTAAATTTGTGAAGTATTTTATATCTTTTACGGAGTTGGAAGTGGTATTTTAAATTTTCATTTTCTATTTTTTGTTGCCAACATTTAGAAATACAGTTCATTTTTGTTATGGTTTTTGTGCTGTGTCTTATTTTTTTCATTGACTCTGATCCATCATATGTTATTCTT